CTGGCATCGCTACTAGGAGCAAGGCAAGGACGCTACTAGGGGCTCCTGGCATCGCCACTGGGAGCAAGGACGCTACTAGGAAATTTCAACGCTTGCGAACCATCTCCTGGAGCAATGACTCACATCGTTTGTCTGTTGGTGCACCCGATTGGTCTCTGTCAAGAAAGGGATGCAACAGAGCTGCCCGGTATGCTCAGCGGTATGCAGCCCTTTTCCCAGTATGAAAGAGGCAACATGTTGCTATGCGTTGCATCATGTTGCCAGGGTGCATTGCGGATTTGTCCACAAGACTCGGGAACCACCATTGCCTTCGTATGCAACGCACCTAGGAATTTCTATAGTGTCTTCGAGGCACGTGAACTGGCGGCGGAAGTGGCTTGCAACTTCGACAAGATTTGGTTATATAAGGGTCTCTTGCTAATCAAATGTTGGCTGTTGAGATCCTACTTGCATGATAAAGAATTGTTGGAGCGTTCATTTCAACAATATAATGAATATATGATATAGAGCCAGAATCAAGTTGCTAGATTCTAGGAAGTATCTTCAGTGACCAAACTATGGTCAGTAAGTCGGTCATTTACCCCTTCTAAAATGACTTCTATGCTTGGAATTCTTTTTCCTGCATTGTGGCCATGGCTGCTTTCGCTCACTGGGCTTGAGGCATCTTGGAACATTCTTTCCAGATTTGAGCATTCTTCGTTACAGTGGTTTCAGAGCAGGTGGCGATGCCCTTTAGATGGGGGATCATATAAGCCACCTTTGGGGGATTGTGCCGTCTACTCTGAAACCACTGTACATTAATCGCACTTAAATCGATGAGCAATACTTTCAGATGCTGAAAACCTGAAGCGAGCACACAGCTGTTGTGAACCCAAATACAAACCCTCAATCCTCATCAATCCTCTACGTCTTTGGGCTCAAGCGTGGAGCAGGGTGAACGCCAGAAGTCCGACGGTGGGCGATGATCTAACAAAGTGACGTGGCCTGGATTTACTGTTGGTGACAACACCCTTTGGTAGGATGAAGCCAGCTATTTTGTGAGTGACCTTTGCCAACCATCAGGTTCCTGATAGGTAGATGCGGAGGAGTTTGGAGTCAATCATGTCCAACCTGAGGCACTGGGGCTCATGGAGCTCTTCATCCGTCAGCCTTTTTTGTGGACAGCCAGGGACCACTTTGAATGATGGGGTGTTCAGAATCACTCTGATGATACTCAACAACTACTCTTCAAAAAGCAATTCTAAAGAAGCTAAAGCAGACGCAAACTACTGATGTTTTAACTTTTTTGGTAAGAGCCACATAGCTGAGTGTCTGAGGACTCGTGTGGACATCATGGCAAGCAGTGAATGGAATAATGTAGACCAGCGGTATAGAGGGAGAGAGAGAGAGAGAGAAAGGGAGCATTTGATAGCTATGATTTCAAAGAAGGGGCCAACAGCGACGTATTTGCCCGAACCGCTTCGTGATTCTCACGAAACACAAACCCGCCCAAGCTTCGAAGAAGCAGCTGGCAAGTCCTGTGTCATCAGCCAGACGATGTTGGTAATTTCTGGTGCAGCACGTTGGATCCCCTTGGATGAAGCCGTCAGGATGATGCACTATCCCAGAGGCATCCAGTTGCAAGTGCTCAATGGCACCGCCCGCCGAAGCCCGAACCAAGTTGAGGCGCGGTTGGTCGGTCCGGTCCAGTCGGTTTTTCGGTGGGCTCTTTTTGGGTCAGCCCTGCAAGACTCAAAAACCAGGCACTGTTGGAAACAGCAAGGTGTCGGATTAGTTCTAAATTCTAAAGGGTCTGAGGTTCATGTGAGGTTCAAAGACGTTCAAAGACGTTCAAAGACCCCATGAGTCATCACTATATTGGCTGGGGGTCATGGCACCAGGATACTAGCAGGTTGTGACCTATCTGGTGTCGGTCGTTCGCGGCAAACCGAGGTCAGGGCAGGGCGGGTACGGACCGGTGTGATATACCGCTGCCGATGGATCCACGCAGGGTGGTCCCATCACACTTGATGTTTGACTCTGAGATGTCCGAAACGTTTCTTGGCCTGTTATTTTCTTTGCTTTGCAAAAGAATCAGAGGCTTTCTTTCCTCTCCTCAGAAGGCTTTGGCGAAGACTTGGCTACGAGATGCTATGAGAATATTTGGTAATTGATATTCCGAACTACTATCTAAACCAGGCGATTTGGTCTCGAGGCCTTCTGATACTTTCGGTCTGCCCGGTGCCCCTCCCCACGGCTGCGCACAAGGTGGAACGGTGCAGTGGTAGATGACCTCTGCAGCGACTAGTAGTGGCCCTAAGTGAAGGTGGGTGGACAAGGGACTGTTAGGCCTTCACAAAAGGTTTCGAGAAAAAGAGGTACAAGTACAAGTCATATCATTTGCAACAGGTCCATCCATGATTTCATTCATTTTATCACTTTCCTCGTGTCTTTTTCTGAGGTTTGAGCTGCCCGCCGCAGAGAGTGTCACGTGGTGGAAACAATTGAAGGCCACACCGACCAGGGGCGCAGATGTCTTGAGAAGAAGATGGCAAACCAAAAGCAAGACGGGACAAGAAATATATAACAAATCTTGATTCCGGATGTTGATGTTTGGGCCAACCCCCCAAGATTGCTTCCATTTCACCCCAAGGTGCCAGTTGGGGTTGTGATTTTACCCTCTCAACCGGCGGCGGCGACTTCGGCCGATTCCACGACCTGGGAGATTGGGAGGTCATCTCTGACAAAGGCCGAGGTCCTCTGCGATTTACAGATCCAGGGGGCCGAAGATCATCGGAGCTGGATTACCTCATTGCTTGTTTTTTCCTTTAAGAGGCCCAAGAACCCGGCCTTTTGCCGAATCTTGGGGTCTCCAGCTGGGCTAATTCTGAACATGTTTCTTTGGTCTTGAGTCTTGCGGGCCTGCAGAGCTCCAAAACCGATGGAAAAACAGATGTTCAACTGAACACACAACATCTACTAGTTCGTCTGTTGGGGGTCACTAGAAACTTTGGTCCCTCCGCTCCCTTGCAAAGCTGCTTTTGCATTGCATCGAAGGATGGACACCCTCCGGCTCGCTGTATACCAGATTCCTCTGCACACGAGCTGAGATGAAAAACTGGGATCGTTTGGTTTTCGTGTTGCGTGATTTTCAGCACAGATCTGGCATGGAACCAGGATGATATCGAACCATGTTGACATAGAGTAGATCACCAAAACCCGACTCTTGGTGTGTTTCGTCAAGAACCAAATCACCATGGGAATGGCAACCTCTTTGTTTGGGATGTCCTTTGATTCCGGAAACATCGACTGCTCATCCCACGGTTTTCGCGAGGGACCGCCCCCCGGTGGCCGTCGCCTCGCCTTCGGCATCCACAAGCCTGGGGTCCTGCTGGGGTCCTGGAGGGACCAAAGAGGGCGGTTTCCTTTGGCATGTGGTCAACGGTGAGACATGGTGAGACATAAAAGGGGTGACCCATTGTGTGGTAAGGTGTGACGTGAGTCTGGATGTTGGGACATGTAGAACCATTGGGCCCCGTGCGCCCCCACAATTTTGAGACCGGTCTCATGCCAGTCACTGTCATGTTGAAGCAGCTGAGATGTGAACCAGTCCAGTCATGGTTCAAGAGTGGACATTGACCAATCCAATTTTCACCGAGGCTTGTGGATGTGTTGAGCAGCAAGTTCTGTGGGCCTTTGTTGCAGAGGCAAGGGTAGCCCAGAAGATATCTGAGCCAGTGCAACATCTCAATAGAACACGAATCAGAAGGAGATACGTTCACACGGCGTCTCTCAAGTACACATCTCTGCACGGGATCAGGGCAGCAGTTGGGAGCAGGGGCTCCTTTTGCTGAAGTCAAATTCAGTAAATGCAGCGATCAAGGCTTGTGAGCACTCAGGGCATTGGTTGCAGGCGAGCGGGGGTGGGGACACACTTTCTTTTTCATGACCAAACTGGATTGTTGTCCTCAGAGAGAAAAGCACCTGCTCAGGTTGTTGTAACGTCCCACCTGCATAAGCTTCGGTCAAGACCTTCAGATGGTCGACGACATCGTTGACGAGGTAGGTGGCGCACTGAACATGTGACCATCGTAGCCATTCAACAATTCCCTCACTGCCAAAAGGCAACCTTTGTCGACAAGAATCGAGGGGGCTTTATTATGTTTTCTTGTCATTTTGCCGACAAGCACCTCATCCTCACAAGCTGTTGCCCGCCAGCTTTGCTTGTGTCTGCCACTTCCGCAGTCTTCGTGGTGTCTCCACAAATGCTCACAAATTTCACGTTGTGACATCTACACTTTGTTTTTCAGTCTTTTCAGTTTTGCAGACCTGTCCAATGCGGCCAGTGCGTCATTGACACCATGATTATTCTCTTCAGAGGGTTTGCACACATCATTCCAGAATCCTCGAAGCAGTGGCTACCAGGTATCAAGAGTCCCCATACATCTCAGTTTTGGCAGGAAACCATAGGTCATGCACAGACCTTGTCTACTTAGTCTACCTTGAGTTGGAGAGGGGTTTTGGCACCAGTGTCTCATCCTGCACTCCTAGACCAGTCAAGACAGAAAGCATCCAGATTGTCGTGCAGGATTTGCCCTCAACCATTGCGAGGCGGTGCCTCTGCTTGCCAGGCCTTCGAATTGTTGCATCGTTCAGAGAAGAATGCGCTGAGTTGCCCGCTGCCAAACAGGTTTGGTGAGAGAGATCTTTGTGTGGAAAGGGACGAAAAGATGAGCCAAAGCAACGAAAAGATGAGCCAAAGCACTTTATTTTAGTATAAGAAAGAAGAAAAAATAACACACGAGACATTAAACATACTGTATAAAATATATAATTTATATACGCTCTCTATATATGCCACAGTCACCTATGCCGCCGTCATGAGCTGTCTTGAGGCGCAGTTGCAGTTTCTTATACATCCTTTTGCAGTTGCGTTTCTTGTTCGTTTGAGGTGAGATGCAGACACAATCACCATCAGGCACTTGCCTACACTGTGTCCAACTGGGCCCAAGAGTGAATGCATAAAATCCAACCTGCCTTTTTGTCAATATAGGAGCTGCGAACATGCAGTACTGAGTTGCAGCTTGAAGCTTGAAAGTATTTCGGGCGACCCCAAGCTTCCATTACATAGAATAGGAGCAGTACATCACTAAACGCTGGTCGGGAGTTCCATCAAATATGCCAATGAATGGCATTCCAAAGCGCTGAGACCCAACCGAATGTGGCCCGCAAGCGACGCTTGTGCTTCAAAGATGCAGAGATGCTGTTGCTACTTGGGGAACGAGGAGAATCCTTCTGACATGCAGTGGGAGCCTGCCGGGGAGTACAACGAGCCTGAGATGCCCAAAGAGCTGTGGGAGGTACTTGAACCTCACCCAGAGCCTGAGATGACTTTGGAGCAGGCCGAGAATAAGGATAAACCTCAGACACCACCCATAGAGGGGGCCAGTCTGGAACCTGAAGCACCAGGTTTGGAGCAGCATGAGGAGAATGGAGAGCCAAAAACTCGCCATGTGCGAGCAAGTTCCCAAGATGAAGCAGATGCTTTAGGCAGCTTGCTCAGGGATCTGAAACAGCTTCCTAAGGCTCACACTAACAACTTCTTGCGCTCTGGCACCTATGCTTTCCAGGCGCCGAATTCTCAGGGTCCTAGCCTCCAGTGCTTGCATGAAGTTCTTGAGCTTCTTTGGCCAAAGGTTAACACAGCGGTAGAGAGGTTCATGACTCAAGAGGTTGAGGCGAAGATACAAAACATGCTCCCAGGCCCTTTGAGAAGTTTCTGCTTTCGACACTTCAAGCTCGGGAATGGCGTGCCCGAGATTCTTGAGGTGGAAGTCTCGGACACTCCGAGCACGGGCTGCACACGACAAGGCGTTGAGCTGCGTATCTCATTCAATCTGCAGTCGGAAGTTGCGATTGTCGTGTCCATGCTTGGTCTTGCAGCAGGCTTGAGCTATCTTTCCATGAAGGGCAGCGCTGTGATTCGGTTGGAACCATTGCTGAATGAGCTGCCCGTGGTGGGAGGCATTGTGATGTATTTTGTAGACCCACCACAGGTCGACTTCCGCATGAACTGGGGTCCGGCTCAAGTATCAGAATGGCCACCTGTCAAGAGGCAGCTCCAAAGCATGTTGGATTCTGTGATCACAAGCACACTCCTTCTGCCGAATGTCATTCATGTTCCGCTGGTGGATGACGAAGATGTGGTTGACACTGCAGCACTGCGGGATATCAAGCCACTGGGTATTCTGAGAGTCATGGTTACGCAGGTGTCACCGATCAAAAAGCGATTGTCCACAAGGTGGCCGCAGGTGAAACTTGAACTGGGTGCAGAGGAGTGGATCTGCCCGGCTACCACATCTCAGCAGTCCTGTTGCTGGCCAAGAAAGCAGCCCAGAGGCCGTATTTTTGTCCAAGTGCTTGCCTTGACAGGCCTCAGCCCTCTTGGCACCTATCTCCAAGTGCAAATGGGTCAGCAGTCCTATCGCACAGACACCGCCACAGAGGATTCACTCTGGAGCATTGGCATTCCTGTTTCGTTTGAGATGAACGATGAATCCTTGAGGCTTGAAGTGCACAGAGCTGACAACAACTTGTGGCACAGAAGTATTGGCTTTGTTGACGTCAAGGCTGGGCAGCTGTGGTCCCTAACACCAGGTGTTTGGTGCTCCAGATCAGAGAGGCTTCAGGGTGCTGAGCAGGTCACCCTGCAGTTTGAATTGCGGTGTGAGTCTGCTGGCCGGAGAAATTCGCACGACTTTTTTGTCCACGATTGGAACCAGAAACTCTCAGTTTCTCTGCGGGATTTGAGTTGCCTAGTGCCAGCAACTGTGGCAGTGTCCAGGCCACGGAAGGTCTTTGAGCTCTTGGGTCAGAATACCTGGAAGGTGTACCTTTCTGATCCAAAACGTGGAGACATGGTACAGGAGACACACACGGAGGTGGAGCTGTCCTTAGATTGGTTGGAAACCCTTCCGGATCCTTTAAGTGAGGAGGTCCATGACTGTCTGGTTGAATGTCACTTCGATGAGGTCTACGTTTCCGATGTCTCCTTTGTGGGCAACATGCTGGCCATGCGTGCTTGCATTGGGGAGACGGTGCAGCAGACTCGTCTTGCGCAGCGTGGTGAACAAAGCGAGCAGGGCCCGCAGGGATGGGAGTTTAAAGTTGAGAGCATCCTGCGGCTCCCTGTGAGTCGATCAGTTCTTGAGACTGAAGGCCTCAAGATCGAAGGTGTTGATGGCAGAGGCAACGTTTGTGCCATGCGCTTTCTCCAGCCTCCACGCCAGCTCATGTCCCAGGAACTTCTGCAGTCCATGGTCAAGCTGGAGGGGGCCCATTGCAAGATGCATGCGCAGGTCTCTGTGAGGTATTTCGGCCTTGGCAGCACTGTGCATAAGATGAGGAGCATGAAGAATTCGGAGAAAGACCATGGAGTCTCATCACGTGGGAACGAGGTTCGGCTGGACTGGGTGAATCAAGTCTGGCGAAAGCTACACCCAAAGATCGTCACGATCGCGGCTCGCCAACTGGAAGATCCATTTGGCCTTTTCACCCAAGCCTTGCGGCTGCAGGTGCCTTTGCCCCTGAAGGATGTTCACTTCACCTACTTCATGTTGGGTAATGCTCCGCCTGAAGTCGGACCCTTTGAAGTGTCTGATTGGCACCACCCGGAGAACACATTCATGGGCATAGAAGTGAAGGCAGGCTTTCACTTAGACACAGAAGCAAAGATTGAGATGAAAGTGCGTGGCCTCACTCTAGGGGTCAACAGGATTGTTTTGAAGGGTGATTTGCTACTTCGGCTCGTGCCTGTAATAGAAGAGATTCCGGTTGTTGGTGGCATCGTGGCCAGCTTTCTGAACCCACCGGAAGTGCAGTTCGAGTATTCCGGACTGGCGCAACACATGGATTCCAGCATCCTGCGGAGACTACTTCAAGCAGCAGTAGGAAGTGCACTGGTCTTCCCTCGAGCGGTTACAATCCCCGTAGGCACTGAAGAGCAGAATGTGGACCGAGCTCAGCTTGATCCCCCACCCATAGGTGTGCTGCGCATTTGGGTACTGCGTGCTGCAGATCTGCCTAGCAGCTGGCCGCTGGGTGCCCTGGGTGCACACTCCCGCAGTCCCTACATGAGCTTGTCACTTTCGCCTGAATTGTGGCAGACGTCAGTTGTATTCCACTCAACAAACCCACAATGGAACGAAAAGCGCGATTTTCTAGTTTTTGATAGGCGTCAAGAGCTAGAGATCCAAGTGGTGGACAATAATTCACTTTTTCTCCGAAATGTGATCGCAGTTGCTCTACCTATTCCGATCCATGACCTTGCCTTTGGAGTGGAGGAACCAATTCCACTGTTTTCTTGCAAGGATGGTGAGGACGGCAGCCATTTCGACTCGAAGAAGTCTCCTGCTGGAACTGCGTATCTTCGCTTTGAGTGGCTGAACTTTGTGAGGAAAGGTCGACGAGGCGCAGATCCTCGACACTTGCTCAGGGTGAAATTTGATGAACTGGGCATACCCAACAAGCTGTTGGATGTGGACAAAGTGACCATTCTGGATCCCGCCTTCCTGCGGATGCGTGCAAAAGTGGGTGAGGTCACAAGTGACACGCCGGGAGTGGCCTGGTCCGGGCCAAGTGGCAGAGACCATGTGAATGTAGCCGAACCCAATACTGGCTCAGTGGAAGTTGATCTCGAACACACACTTTACCTCCTTATCAATGCTGTTGACCTGGATGTTGGGGAACTGGAGCTCCAACTTATGAATAAATATGATCAGGTGTTGGGAATGGCGAGCATCAAGCTTTCAGATGTATTGGCAGCTGTGGGCGGCGGTAAGAAGTGGTCAGCGCAAGACCGCCTCACACTGAAGAACAGTGAAGGCCTGGATTGTTTCGCTGATGTGGACGTCTCAATCCACGGTCTTCGGTTGGCGCAGGAGTGCGTCGCTCCATACCAGTCCTGGCACTCGCCCAGCCAAAGACGCTGAGGCACCTCGGTGGGCTGAAGGATGCGTCCAGAAGTGGCCCACCTCACTTTTCAAACGGGCATTTGATGATCTCTGATGTGTTCGATTCCCAGAGTTGCGAAGCGATTGATGGAACAAAGGGGTCTTGGCGTCTTCCTGCAAGTCACAGATCCATTCCATTCCTGTAAATGACCCAGTGAAGTGAATCCCTTCCAGGAAAAAGGGCAATGGATGGCAGCGGTCAAGCTCTTCACCACGATGCTGTGTCGGAGACACAAGGGTGACCAAACGATGCTTACATGCAAGGAGCAGCACGATGCAAGTGCATCTAACATCATCTAACTAACATTCGACAGCTCTGGGGCACACTACAGGTATGACCTTAGACCGGATAATAGTGGGTTCTATCAGAGGGAATTCACATTAACCCTTTCCACGCCGACAATGCTATCTCTAGATCACATTTCCGGCAAGAAAGCACGCTGTTGCCTTGCAAAGCGGTATCCCCAACTTAACTAGCTTTGGAGATTCAACGTTAGCAGATGTTAGCAGCATTTTTCCAGTTTGTTGCGTGGTACAAGGCGTTCGCCCGCCAAGGGCATGCCTTCGCGTAACTCTCCTGCACAGGACAACCAAAGAGAAACATGGTAATATGTAGACTAGCGGTACGAAGACCCTAGCAAACAACGAATCAGGGAAGATAAGGTCCAACGGGCACAAACTGAGGATTTGTTGATCTGCGTTGGCCGATGGAGGAGTGGGTGACTTGATCGCCTGTCATCAAAAAGCCAATTGATCATTAAGTTCCGTACAAACGGTGAGGACTGAGGACACTTTCAGCATATTAGTACATAGTTCTTTTTTGGCAGAGAATCCTGGAAGATTGGGGCTAGGGGGTAGGCCGTTAGCAGGAGGGAAGTAGGTGGCCAGTCAAGTGCATGATCGAAACTAGATTTTGAGTCTTGAGGGACATTGGTTTTTGTTTTTTGATGCTTATCTTTGCGGACAATTGTGCAGGCATTTGTGGCTTCTTTGGCTGACGTGCCTGCTTGCTGACGGTCTTTGGGAAGATTCGGACAAAAAAAGGAGCAGTTTTGTGGCCGGTTTCTCTTCGGCAGCTGCAAGACCCTAAGATTCAGACATACATCTCACTAAACTGATTTCATTTGTTGTCACGGTGGATTTGGGCAGACATTTTTCTAGTCACTCCAGTCCAAAGTCCAAAGAAGAGGCGTTCACATCAAGGTTTCCCTTTCAAGACCTTGCGACCACATGGAGTGCACGGGTTTTGGGTAAAGTCCACTGAACCTTGACATCCATAGGGGTCATGAAATCTCAAAGCTCCGTCTCCGCCTGCGGTGCTGTTTGTCTCAGAGCTTGGGCCTCCCGGTGACGGCTGGGGGGGGCGCGGAGACTTCGCTCCCCCGTTTTCCCTCGATCGAGACTTCGCGCTGACCGCTCCTGGCCAGCCTGGAGGACGGGAAGAGCGATTTCTTCAGTCCCTGCGTTGCCATGGAAGTTGAAGCAGGGTTTGTAGACCCCCGACTAGAGAGTGGCAGAAGGTTTGTCTGAATCTGAATGCCTGTATGAATGGGATTGTTTTGTTTCAACGGGCCACACTTTCTTCATATCAGTTAGAGGAGTGTGGCAGCAACGCAGCTGGTTTCGCAGGACCCAATTTTCAATGGCAAGCCCTACAAATGGAGCAGACCGATCGCGTACATGGCAATTTTCAAAGACTAAGATGTGCCATGGCGCATGTTCTACCTGGAAAGGACCTTGGACAATGATAGTTTGAAGGCTTGTCAGTTGAATCATGGGTATTCTCAATGCGGTACTCCGTTCCAACGTTTTCATTTCTCCAAGTTAACAACCTCAACATGTTTGTCTATAGACATAGGAAAGTTGCCGGGAGGTGGCATCCGCAGATTGAATTGCCATTTGGGTGCTTCTGCCATTCTTCTTGCTTGTTTAACCGCAAAGGTTTGCAGCACATGAACAGAGTGCATTGCACGTCCCAGCGAAAACCGGCATGTTGCCAACAGCTTGCCCTTGAAGCACAAACAACATCCTGGTGTACGTGTTTGGTGTGAGCGGAAAGCCTTTTGATGCCCTTTGTAGATATTTTGTTTGGAGTGCGGGAGCTGCGTGTTGCATCAGTGTTTTCACAGGGCAATACTTGAATTGCAACAAGAGACCAATGCAACTTGTCCGTCGGGACACCCATAGATTGATGATTAGGACCTCATGATAACAAGTTTGCAAGCCTGGCGCAAGACAAGTTCTTAGGCTGCACGTTCTATTGCAGTACTTAATTATATAATTCAATTGGTGGATGAGCGAACCCATTGTAGTGACACTCGCTAGCTTGCCTAGCTTGTCTCTCATTCAGTTTGGATGGAGGGAGCTTCCCTAAGGTGCAAGTTCTACTTGGTCGGGATGTGCACAAAAGGTTCACAATGCCCGTCTGTTGGCAAGCAAAGGATCGGAACCGTTCATGCGAAGAGCGGGAACGGCCCGAAGCGCACTTCTCAGAAGGCAAGTACCATGCGTCAAATGCTGGGTACATACTGCTGCAGATTGAAACTCTCTCTCCCTCTCTCGAGTCCTCAACTCTTTTGTTTTGCACATGCATTGTTGTGCTGCTCAAAGCACTGAGACATGTTTCGTCTTGGGGTTCACTCGCGGCACATTGCATAGGGACAAGTGTGGGAAGAGTAGATAAGCAGGTTTTGGTCAAGAAGAGAAGTGAAACATTCCAGTGCTAGCGACTCCAACACATTCCGCCGGAGCCGCCTTACTAGCTTTCCAGTTTGGAGGAGATGCCAAAGGTCAAATCGAAAGAACTTCTAGAGTATAGAGAGTAGGTACAGTACATGCTGTACAAATGGTTGACTTGGAGGAATTGGCTTTGAAACATGAGAAGGTCACATAATTACGAATTTTCTTGTGATTACGAGTGGCAATTCAGGGTATTCACCCATCTTCCAAAGCTGTCTTCCTCAGCCCAGGTTTGCCCATCAAAAAACGGAGCTGCGTGAACTGCCCGACTTGACGTGTACCAAGCTATGCAAGACACTGATTCAAACAGGCAAGATGAATTCTCAAAATCGGAACATCAAAGCATATTTCCCAAGCCCTGAGGGTTCCTTGCGGGTCCTTGTGACGGTTTGCATGTTTGGTCTCAACATCAATCACAAGCGAAGACAGCTGAGTCAAAGGGGGCAGGGAGAGAATGGTGGGGGATTGGTGCCTTTTCCAACCGGGGCATTGAGCAGCTAGTTTTCACTGGCTAACTCTATCTTGTACTGAGCACACTGTTCAATCACTTCTTTTCATTCACATTGCGTTTCTGTTGGAAGAAGCGATGAGCATTGACCTGGCAAGCTTCATAGCAACGGCCGGAGGTTTGTGCGAGGATAGCCGGTGTGCCTACGCGCATAGCAAGGATGAGCTGAGAGCAACCAGACACTTGGCTAAAAGAGAATTGTTTGCCGCTACTAGGAGCAAGGACGCTACTAGGGGCTCCTGGACATACTACTAGGAACAAGAAGCTACTAGGGCCTCGGGGCTCCTGGCCTTACTACTAGGAACAAGAAGCTACTAGGGGCTCGTGGCCTTACTACTAGGAACAAGAAGCTACTAGGGGCTCCTGGCCTTA